GATTGATATGAACGCTTATCACATGATTTCACATATATCTTCTTGTTCCCTTCTGCTTCTGTCATATTGGTATATGTAATGCATAACATTATATTGTATCTATTTATTGAATTCACTAAGCGTTATCGCTTATTCCTCTCAATATATAACAATTGCAGGTGATGAGTATTCCAATATAGCTTTATACTGCTGAAAGATTTAGAATAGTTAATAGTATTTCTCTGTATTTTTAATGTTCATGTATGTATATGAATAGTAGATTCTTGGGTAGACATGAAATGTAATAAAACTTAGTCGGTTTGTATCCAATCCTTTGTAATCACTTTATCAATATAAAATATTGTTTTATAAATATGCATGTAGCATGTTTTGAGGAAGTAACTTAAGAAATCTTTTGAAATAGTATGAAAATTTGGGTGTTTCATAAATACGAAAGTGGGGGTCTTTCACATAGACATAAATCTGATGCCACTTAGAAGTTGATAAATTTTGATCAAACAAGTAGAGATCCAATTACGAAAACCTGTTCGGAAAATTCTCAGTAACAACGGTTTGGAATTTAAAAATCATGCATTTGAAGAATTCTTAGTTGGAAAAGGGATTGCTCACAACTTCTCATCACCTTACACTCCATAACAGAACGACATAGTTGAAAAGCGAAACTGGTCTCTCTATGAAGCTGCAATAACTATGTTTTTCTTTGCGAATCTAGCTTTGTACTTCTGGGTAGATGCATTTGCAACCGCGTGTTTTACTCAGAACCAATCTTACATTAATAAGCGCTTTCTGATTGCTCCATATGAAATTTTTAACAATCGAATACCTAACATTAACTTCTTTCATGTCTTTGGATCCAAGTGTTTTCTACTCAATTCCAAAGGAAATCGGAACAAAATTGATGAAAAGGCCAATGAAGGATTCTTTCTGGGGTATTCGCTAAATTCAAAGGCATATCGGGTTCTGAACAGAAGATCAAAGAAAATTGAAGAAAGCTACCACATTATCTTTGATGACAACTACATGAAGAAATATCAGAAAGAAGATTGTCAGTATGGGGAAATCTTTCCATCAACAAATTCCATGATGATTCCTCTTACGAATTTATATGAGGAATTTCTAAATTTGTTTGCTGAACCTGATAAAGGTATTTCCTCATAATCAAAGGCTAAGGATAATAAAGAAGATGAACTAATAAAGATTATCAATAAGGCTGTTGAATACAACGAGAATCCTCCTCAGCAACCAATTCCGAATGAACCTCATCCAGAATCTTCTGATGCTTCCGTCCATGGGGAGATTTCCACTCCGAAATCTAATACCGATGTTACAATCCAATGGGAGAGTTCAATTCTGAATGACAGGTCACATGGAAACTTCCAGGGGTAGAATGAAAAGAATGATTCGGATGTACAATCGGAGTTCGAAGAAGTTTTTGCTGAAGTTGATCCAACTTATGATCAGAACTACCCTCCAATGACGAAATGGACCAAAGATCATCCACCATCTCAAGTGATTGGAGATTCTTCATTAGGTGTTATTACTAGAGCTTAACAAAAAGCAAAACAAACTGCATTATTTTCTAAATTAGAATTTTGCATGTTTAATTCTGTTATTTCTAAAATTGAGCCTAAGAATGTGAAAATTTCTCTTGATCATGCAGGTTAGGTTCAAGCCATGAAGGAAGAACTCAATGAATTTGAGCAAACTAAAGTATGGAGACTAGTCTATACTCCGAAGGATGCATTTCTAGTCAGAATGAAATGGGTGTTCTAGAATAAGAAAGATAAAGAAGGAAACATGATTGATAACAAGGTATGTTTGGTAGTTAAAGGCTATTGCCAAGAGGAAGGAATAGAATACGAAGAGACCTTCGCACTGGTTGCTAGATTGGAATCTATTCGGATTTTTCTCACCTATGCCGCTCAAAATTTTTTTAAGTCAACAAAATGGATGTGAAGTGCGCATTTTTGAATGGCAAACTCGAGGAAACAATATATGTGGAACAACCTTCAGGCTTCGTAAATGAGAAATATCCAAATCATTGCTATGTTCTAGATAAGGCAACGTATGCTCTTAAACAAGCTCTGAGGGCATGGTATGAAACTTTGACTCTTTTTCTGAAGCAATAAAAATTTAAACAAGGTTCGGTTGACCCAAACTTCTTTCACAAGAAAGATGCTGACCATCTAATGATCGTTCAAATTTACGTTGATATTTTCAGATCCACTAATCCTAGATTAACAACTGAATTCTGAAAACTAATGGAAACTAAATTTGAAATGAGCTCAATGTGTCCTATTAACTTTTTCCTTGTTTTAAGTATTAGAAAGAGTTCAGAAGGCATATTTATTAACCAAGAAGCCTACGAATACCTTGCTTACTAATTTCGGAATGGTGGGAGACTTAAAGGTCATGGTTCCAATGGATTTTGGAACGAGGTTTACTCCATCCTTGGACAAACCTGCAGCTGATATCACACCATATCACCAAATGATCGGATCTTTAATGTATCTAACATCGAGTTGTCCTGATATTATGTTTGTTGTATGTTATTGTGCTAGGTTTCAGTAGAATCCCCATGAACCACATATGGTTGCTGTAAAGAACATATTCTGATACCTTAAAAGAACAACATCTCTCGGAATATGGTATCGATCCAATTCAGGATTCTTTGTGCAAGCTTATTCCAACGCTGGCCTAGGAGGATGTGGCCTTTATCGTAAAAGAACTTTTGCGGGATGTCAGTTTCTGGATGGCATGCTTGTTAGTTGGCAATATAAGAAGTAGATATGTGTGTCCTTATCGATTGCTGAAGCTGAATACAGTGCAACAAAATCTTTGTAGTCCCAAGTGGTGTGGATTCAGAACCAACTTAAAGACTATGGAATTAACATGAAGAGAATTCCTTTGTATTGTGATTCCGAAAGTGCTATAAGAATTTGCTACAATCCAATGTAACACTCCAAGGCAAAGCATATAGCACTGAGATATCATTTCATAAAAGATCACTTCGAGGATGGAAACATTGAAGTTCATTTTGTTAGATCCTCAGATCAGTTGGATGACATCTTCACAAAGGCCCTTCCTGTAGCTACGTTTAATCAGATGTTACAAGGACTAGGAATGATTGAAGCTGACTCAGTTCCGAAATCTACTTCGTAATCGAAAAATACTGTTCATGTTCCGAATGCTTCCAAGCTTCGGAATGTTTCAGAATTTACTGTTCATATTTCAACTTGTTCCGAGCTTCGGAATTGTTCGGAATCTACTCTTCATCAAGGTTTCAGAATGCTTTGTATCCTTTGTACATTAAATCTCTTTTGATTGGTTCCGAGCTTCGGAATACTTTAGAAGTTACTGTTCATTTTGTGTTTCTGAATTCAATTATCTTTAATATTTTTCTTTATTTCTGTTTTCATTTTTCAAAAATCACAAAAATATTTTCTTTATTTCTGTTTTTATTTGTCCAAAATCACAAAAATATTTTCTTTATTTCTGTTTTCATTTTTTAAAAATCACAAATTTATTTTCTTTATTTCTATTTTCATTTCTTTTTAGAAATTTAAAGTCACAAAAATATTTTCTTTATTTTTGTTTTCATGTTTTTTCAGATACACAAAAATTAAAAATACTAAAGTTATCTTTCTTTTAAGAAGCTAACGTTCTTTTCTCAGGTTAATTTTCTTCATTATATTAATTCATAACAAATGGGTAGGTATGATTCCAAAATTGTGTACTAGCTAAGCGTCCCTAAAAGCATGATGTTGCATGTCATCCCAAGCCTCTTAGACTCTATGTTTGAAGCCTTAATGAAAGTTTCATTCTGATCGATTCTTCCCAATCAAGCTTTTGAATCACATAAGTCATCGAGCTACCTTACTCTTCTCACATTGAGTTAAGAGTTTACTGCTTAGTCATGCAAATATAGCAGAGGTACATTATCTTCTTCGGAACCAATCTATATAGTTTCTCCATCAATTTCATATCCATAAAAGTAACCCTTGAGACTCTCAGAAATTATCACTAAGGTTTATGGTTACACAACATCTGTGTTTATGATCTTGAAATTTTTATCACCGCGATTTTGAGTGAAACCCAAAATCCAAAACCTACTTTTGAATTGACGGTGAACATCTTTTTTTCTGGAAAATTTAACCAAGGCATTGACGAATAAAACCTTTTTGGTTAGTATCATTACAAGTTTGAAATATAAATTTTCTTTTTGAGTGATCTTAATGAAATGTTCTCGACCTAATAAATTTATTCCCAAAAGATATGGATTTTTTAGATTTCCATTATATCCAGTCACTTTAAAGAATATCCAAAGCCTACTTGTTATTATTGCTACACTGGTCAAACAAGTACTTCATTCATATCTTCAGACTTATGTTGAGTTTTGGAATCTGGTTGAAACTTAAGCCACCCTTAAAGCCTATTAAAAGAATCCTTTCACAGTTTCTCAATAAATTGATGATCGTAATTCAAAGGGAAACCACACAAGAACTTCAGAGTCTCTCTTGAATCAGAAGGAAGAGATCGTTTCTTGGCATCTGTTTGGTTTTTATATCGATCTGAATCGATATCACAAAATCCCACAAATTTGATTTGATTTATTTCTTTATCTTTGGCACACTCTTGCACAAAAATCCTTGTGAATTTTCAAAGTCTAGTTCTAATTCTTATTGCCTATTTTAATTCAGAGAACATGTCTTGGTCTCAATGTTGGTGAAATCTTTGATGATTTCGAATGTGTCTATTATGAAACAACGGTTTCTTGGAGATGAAAATTCAAATAAGGTGTGATGTTTGAATTACCTGACACAAGCGTGTCTGTTACAATGGCGTCTGACACCTATTGATGAGTTGGCATAATTTTACATGCTGATTTTACGGGATACAGGAAAGTGGAATGGCAGTTTTAGACGGTTCAATTTCACTCACCGTATCCACTTTTTTCAAAACCCTCAAAGCAAAAATTACAGGTCAAAACATGATCATCGATGCTCGTTGTAAAGCATGGTCAAAACATGATCATCGATCTCGATTCCTCACGCTATTATGAAGTTCTTTGTCTAATAATCGAATGTCTCAAGTTCTCGCCACTAGCTCAGGCGTTAACAATGGCGAATTTTGGTCCATTGGTTCATCTATCCAAGTCTTACTCCTCTACAATTTACAGAATAGTAAAATATGTTATTCAGTTTGAGGTTGCTTCACACAAGACCTCGATCACCAAGCCTGACTTTAGCAAACTTCTAGTGCTCACTTTCCCTGTACTTCCTGTGGATCCAGAATCAATTCCAACAAATGAACTAATTGAGATGTTTTATAAGATGGGTTACATTGAAATCCGAAATAGTCAACAAAAAATGTCACATTTTTTGTTGACTATTTCGGATTTCAAGCTTCAATGTTTACTCCATTTTGTCAAGGGGGAGCATAGCAATTATTTATCCAATTCAAGATCATTCTCATGACCATTTGAAGTTTTTATAATCATTTTTTATTATAGAATTTGATATGGTCATTCAAAATTGGATTTTGATTTATCAAATTGGAAATTAATGATGAAGCTTGTGTTAAGGTATATAAAAGTGGGTATATCATTTTTAGGTATTGATGAACTTTAGAATGGGGATCCCAAAGGTTCTACCAATGACTGCGTTGCATTGATTGACTCTAACTTTTAGAGATTTCCCGATAAAGTGAAGTTATGAATCTTGAATTTGATTTACTACATGATATTTTTTGGTGACTTATATCATTATCATATTTGAAGATCATTGTGAATTGGAGGGGGAGTTTTTCAATATAGGAAGTGATTTGGTCTCTTATCTTTGGGATTATTTAGAAGATGAAGTTGAAAAGGATTACTTCTAAGCCATTGGGAGCTTGAAGGTTATATTTTTAGTTTGGTGCTTGGTTTCATATTTCTATATCCTAGAACCCGGTTTAAAGACTATTGAAAGTCAAACTTCATAGATTACTTTGATATTCCTCGTCACAATATCATTTCTTATTTGCTAGAGGCTTGTTTTGGAAGTTGAAGCTTTACCAGTCATTCCATACTTTGAGGGGGAGAATGTAAGGTTCAATGTATTTCATGTATGATGACAAGTGGCCTCCTTTTATGAAATGTGGGTTAATTAGCTAAACTTTTTTTTCCCTATAAATAGTCATGTTGTATTCATTTTTGGGGAAGTGGCAAAATGTTGTCCTTGAATGAGATGTGATTTCTTAGCTATATTAGTTAGATTGCATATTTCCTTTTTTGTGTAGTTTCCTCTTCATAGTTTAATAAAATATCTTTTCACCAAATCTTCATGATTGTGTTCATTCTTACATTCCACATCATCAAATCATCTTTATTATTTTTCCCAACAATAGACAATCCTGACATTGGAGGATATGTTGCGGGCGTGTGTCTTGGATTCCGGTGATAGTTGGGATATATATCTTCTGTTAGAAGAATTCTCTTATAAAAATAGCTACCACACCAACATCGATCGACCTCCTTTTGAGATGCTCGATCGGTCAAGGAGTTATGGGGAGTATCGAGGTGGTACTCAAGATGACCGAGTTAATTCAGCACGTTTATAACAAACTTCAGACAGCTCAGAATCGGCAGAAAAACTATACCGACAAGCGTCGAACATACTTAGATTTTCAGGTCAGGGACATGGTTGTCTTGAAGGTGTCGCCTTGGAAATATGTCACTCGATTAAGGAAGCGGGGTAAGCTAGGCCCCAGGTACATCGGTCCTTTTAGGATTACTGCCCGGATGGGTAGGGTGGCATATCGAATGGATCTTCTAGAGGATCTTAGTCAGATTCACATTACTTTCCATGTCTTGCAACTGCAATAATGTTTGGCTGATGATTCCAAGTAGTTTTATTGGAGAATATTCAGGTGGATGACCGTCTGAACTATATTGAGAAATCGGTGGTGATTCTTGAACAGAAGATGAAAACCTTAAGGAACAAGGTCGTTGAGTTGTTGTAAGTCCTGTTGCAACACCTCAAGGTTCCGAGTGGACTTAGGGAGCTAGAGGATGAGATGGGGGAGCATTACCCGGAGTTATTTGGAGCAGCAGACTTTCAGGATGAAGTTTGATTCAAGTAGGGGAGAACTTTAACATTCAAGTTTTGTTATGTTCCTCTTTTATCCCAAATGCAAAATTCTTTCAAAATTGGTCCCTTGGTTAGTATGCGGGGCGTACTCATTGGGTATGCAAAGCGTATTAGCCATATATCTGGTCACGAAACTTAACCACATACACGAGGCGTATGTGGTGTACATGGCATACGTGAGTCTGAGATAAACCCTAATTTTTAGGGTTTTCACCCTATTTAAGGGCCTTAATTCCCCAAGTCCCTTACCTTTTCATCCTCCATTGCCCTTGAAGTGTAGATCCTAAACCCTATGCTACCTTAAGTGCATTTGTGAGCTTTCTTGAGTGATTTTGGTGTTCTTTACAGTCTTTGAAGAAGAAGGAAGCTTGGAAGAAGAAAGGACATAGGGAGAGCTTATAGATCCATAAGTTTGGCACCATGGAAGTGAGTAGGGGTTGGCAGACCAGTACACCATGCGTACTCAGTATATGTTGTACGTACTAGGTCAGCGACTCAATCCCAGGTCAACAGTAGCATACGTTGGGCATACAAGCCAAGTACGGCGTGCGTACGCAGTCAATGAGCCTAGAAGGTTTTTGGGCTCATTTGCTGTTGGGCTTTGGACTTAAGTAAGTTGAGCGTTGGGTCCACCTAATTGTAGCAAGTCATTTTTTTTTGTTATGATATTATATGGTAGTAGTAGGAGGTGAAATAGACCAGATATCTGGTTGAAATAGATGGAATATGATTGCGAGCACATATAAATGCTTGATAGTATCCAGTTGAGATAGACCTAAGGGGTAGGCAAGCACCCATAGATGTTTGGCAGTGTCCGGTTGAAATAGACCGAAGGGGTAGGCCGGCACCCATATATGTTTGCTAGTATGTTTGTTTTGTATGTGGTATTTTGGGGGAACTCACTAAGCTTTGTGCCTATAGTTTTCAGTTTCTATTTCAGGTACTTCTAGTTCGAAGGGGAAGGGCCCAGCCTAGTCATACCGTATCACTTTATGTTTTTCTGCACTTAGTGAATTTATGATTTACACTCTGATAACATGTTATAGTATGACTCTTTTGAATATTTTGATATCAGTTTCCTATGAATTGAATGAATATAAAAACAAAATTTTATATGTATTTTTTGGGATGTTACAAGAGCACCACTAGATATCTTTAGCGATGATGCTTTTAACAATGACGTGAGCTTAGCGGCGACACCAGGCGTGTGCCATCTGATTTCGTTGTTAAAGGTTTGGTTGTCGCTAAAAGTGTTGTCCCCAATACTCTTTTTTCTTGTAGTGTTAGGATCATATGTTAATTAACAATATCATATTAATATGACTCTTGAGCATATAATGTCTTTCACTAGGTCCTATAGAGGTCTTTTGAGATATTTTTCTTTAAAAAATTGGTTCTCAAGTTCTCAAATACATGTTGGTTCATATGATCAAACTGACGGAATACGTTTACAGAAAGAGTGACTTATATTGATAACACCGAATTGTATACACACTCATACTAAGTCATACTAGGAGCAAAATAGACCTAAAATATGTTAATAGGCTCAGACCTATAAACTATGATTATACTGGTCCATGAAACACTTTGATATTGATTAGGATAAAACTTGGCCATATATTTTATTTTGGGGGTGTGCCCCCGACCCCGACAAGGGGCGGCTCCCCCTAAACCATCAATGTGTTTGCCTCAATGCATGCTTAGTCTATCGAGTAGATATAAGGATTTGTTAAAAATACAGGAATGATAATGTACAAAATTTGTAAAGCCAAAAAAAAAACAATCAGTAGCTATCCTGACGGCAAGTAGTCGCTATAGGTCCGTAATGAAAACTGTGAAAACTCTATCCCGACGACTAGTCATCGCAACATCTTAGACCTTTTGTGACGACGTATCATCGCTATAGGTTTCCCGACGACAAGTCGTCACCACAGATTATTAAATAAACATTTTTTTTCCCGAAAATATGGATCACAAAAGCTGTACCGATGACATGTCGTCGCAATAGGCGGCGCTATGCCAACGACATTTTTGCCAACGACATAATGGACCTATGCCGACACGTTTGTGCTGACGACTCTTTACTGACAACATGTCGTCGGCATAGTCTATACCGACGACATGTCGTCTGGATAGGGTCTTAATTTGTTGTCGCCGGTCCAAATGTTGTAGTGTATACCATTGCCACCTTCACATGGTTTGTTTTTTAGAATAATCTATGATCAATGTGATACATATCATTTATGTAGCATCTATTTTGAAGATAAAAAAAAAAAAAAAAAAAACACTTGCAGCCATATGACTATTTAAAAAACAAACAATATCTAGACTTGCATATTGGATTGTGTTTTTTGTCTACCGTTTTGCTAGGCATATTTTCCTTTTTTATTGATAAAAAAATTCACATTTTAGAATGAAGTTAAAATATGGGTTCCATAAAAGCATAATATTGATAATGGGAGGGTTGGGCTTGAAAGATTACCCTTGAGAGCCAACCGATCGAGAAGATGAATGGTGCTGGATTCAACTCTGTCCCTTTATTGCTCTAAGAAAACGGTAGTTATTAAAAGCAAAAGCAACGAGACTAGCTTAGTAGTGTTGTTAAGATACTTTGATTCTGATCTCCATCCTGTGGCTATTAAGTGTGGCGTGGTTAGTCCTTGGAGCTCATCCTGTTAGAACAAAGTTATGGCGCGGCATATATGAGGCACATTTTATGAACTTCAGTAGCATGTAGGAAGATTATCTATGTGTAATACAATTTCATTCCAACATTTAGATATATATCTTATGGCATTCATAGGCCCAACGGATTGCCATCGTTTTATCATCGATATAAAATATATTGATCGGGTTATCAAAGGGAAATCAAGGCTGGTAAAATAAATGTAGAGACCAAAACGGGTGCTGAGGAAAGAGAACTGTGAAAGTTGCATGAGATAAACTTTGAAAGGAAAAAACATAACTTCCCATGTCAATAACTGATTATTACATTGAAGGCCAGTTTGAAAATATAAAAGTTCTAGAAAAATTAAAGCTGGAACAAATCTATTCATCGATAATGACAAATTAAAAGGGTTTAAAGCGGCAGTGATTACTATATAGTAGTTACTTGGTGGTAAACATGTTCGGTAGGTAAATTTGTAACAGAATATTCCATCGGAAATGCGTAGGAAGGTTTGTAGGTAATTTGTAGGAAAAATTACCCACTAGGGTTTTTCCTACAACCCGTTTTTTTTAGGAAATCTGTAGAGAACGCATTGGTCCTACGGAATTCCTAAGAATATTGCCGTAGGTAATTACTTAGTTTTCTAGGTTTTAAGAACCAAAACACACATGGTACATGCTTCTTGTTATTTAGAACATATAAATTTAAACGAAGCCACAATTAGATCCAAGATTACATAAGTGATTATATGGATGCATGGAGCTAAGTAAGCTTAAGTGAGAAACTCTTCTGCACTTCAATTGCAAGTTCTTCAACACTAAGTTGACATTCCAGTCCTATCTGCAGGAAACAGTTAATCCAGTGGTCATATTATTAGTACACACAAACTTAATATAGATGAATGACATCAAAATAATTTGTTCAAGACACTAAGATATACAAAGGTATATTAGCATAGATGATAGGTTTATTAAATCCTTTAGAAGGTGACAGGGTGTTTATAATCTCCTTTCATTGTCCACTAAGATTGAATTTCTATTATTGATTGATCTGTTAGCATGAGGGGTATATCATTTATCAAATTAATTTTTTTTCTTAACAAGCATGTCGCTTATCGTCCGTACTGCATTCATACATGACATTAGTAGTCTTTCGTAAAACAGGAACCTATCCAATATTTAAACCTATTGGTGTTGAGGGTTTAAGATTAAATATGGGCGTACGTAGTTATTTACATTGTTTACTCTTGTGTTATAAACTAAAAGTAATTAATTTATTTTAGCCTAAGAGAAAACATGTCTTCTAATTCTCAGACCAGTTACGAATATGGATACATTATTAGGTCTCAGGTTTAATCTTCATTTATCAGCTCATGATATATGAGGATGGTCAACAGTGTCCTTGGGCATGGCTTATTTTCCTAATCTCTTCGTAATTCATGTGCATGGGATGCAAAATTGTTTAGGAATATAGATAAGATGTATAGGCGGATTGGTTAATTTTGTTAAGGAATCTTTCATTTATAATTAGATACATCTTGTTAATTTTGTTAAGGAATCTTTCATTTATAATTAGATACATCTTGTTGGGGATGATATCACGACATGTTTCAATGCTCATTACCTTGGATGTAGGACTTTAAGGAAAATAACAAATGTTGTGTACCTTAATAACAAAGGAGTATAGGACAGTGTCCTCCATGCTGCTGATATTTAGATGTAGGATCTCAAGAGAAAGATTTTCCAACAAATTGACTATCTTCACAATTTGCCCTGGAATTCTTCGTGATACAGTCCTCAAGAAGACATTTGACCCGGAGATCTTTGCTTCCACGTCCGCAACTGGTGAGTTACAAGATGCTCCCAGTTCTTTGATATTTTCGTGTACAACTATAGATCGTTCTGATTGCGGGGTGCTTGGTTGCAGTAATGGCTTTGGGCTTGGACCAGGACTAGGACTTATGCTCCTACGTCTTTTCTTTGATTCCAATGATTGTAAAACTTGTTGCATCTCCTTGATGAATTCTATTACACCTCCTATGATTGAAGCTTGATCTCCCTACCATATCAGGCGCGCAAATGAAAATAAATCGTACTTAGTCTATCATTGATGAAAGCATCCCATGTGACAAATGTGATAGACTTGGCACATATTGAAAGAAACCGTGATCAACTAGATTATGTTATATGACTTTGAATACGCTGTTGTAGCAGTACTTTGTTTACCATGGGGGCGTAGAGAGGTGGAAGTGTGCGGCTGACAGGACCCAATTTTTTTTAACTACGTTATATATGTATATATATTTATTTAAAAATAAAAAGCCTATAATAAGGATATAATAAGGATAAGGATTTTTTTTTTCTGGGTGGTCCAGGGTATTTGAGGAAATTTAAATCCTTAGTAAGAATCATCGTACTCCCTAAAAACATGTTGGTAGTTGTTAATTTTCAATAAAATCATTGTCAATTCAGGCGAAAAAAAACTTACTAATTAAATACGCAAGAAAATGGCTAGCATGACGAGAGATTGGTTCTAGCAAGTATGCTTATAATTTTGTTTGAGAATTATATGAAATCACTATATCGGTCAAACATGTCTTTTTTGCATCCTTGAAAAGATAATAGGTAGATTTAGAAAAGTTTTATAGTTTGTTTAATCATATAATTGGTAATTTTCTATGCAGCACCACTTTGAAACACAAAACAGAGACAAGAAGGAAACCGCGCTATGCCATATGACAGAAACATTGATAAACAACTGCGGCATACAACCACAGAAAGAAAACCCTAATGATGTAATAAGCCTAGATCTGTTGCCTTATGAATGGAATTACAAACGCTTTGAGCATGGTTCGACATTAAAGAGTGGAATATACCAACCCGTTTGATGTAGAAGCATGGGGTCATTGATCGCAAGACCTTGAGGTGTTCATTCATCTGCCTTCTCCTATTTCTCTCTACAGCTATATGAGACATGTTGCGATCGATCCTTCGGAAAGGTATTTTCTACACTCTGGGTCAAGAAAGACACACAGTCGACGTATGTGGAGAAATATAGATATATGTATAAGGTGTGTTTACGTGTGTGGATTGTGTTTGTGTTTGTGTGTGTGCGCGTAAGTGTACTGCATACTACAAGCTATGTTCTTATAAATGCTATGTGTTGCAGTCTCGTGAGGTTAGTTAGTTAGTTTTTTACTCTCTCTCTCTCTCTCTCTCTCTCTATATATATATATATATATATATATATATATATATATATATATATATATATATATATATATATATATATATATATATATATTCATTTGACACCATTCTAATTTTGTGAGATCGTAAGACCAAATCTAAAAATAATTTTAAAATGCAAAATAAATGGAAAAATCCAAAAATTATTTTTTTAAATATTATTTTCGGAACTTGAATTAACTAAAAAAAATTCCGTTTTTTTTTTAAAAATACGTGAAATATTCTAAATAGAATATTACACTGACATATTCTAAAAAATAATTTTAAAATGCAAAATAAATGGAAAAATCTAAAAATTCTTTTTTTAAATATTATTTTCGGAACTTGAATTAACTAAAAAAAAAATAAAAAAAAATTCTATTTTTTTTGAAAAATATGTAAAATATTCTAAATAGAATATTACACTGTACATATTCTAAAAATCATTTAAAAATGCAAAATAAATGGAAAAATCAAAAAATTCTTTTTTTAAATATTATTTTCGGAACATGAATTAACTAAAAATAAATTTAAAAAAATAAAAATAAAAAAAAGAATAAAAAAATGCGTCTCACGGTCTCACAAAATATAAGCGGTCTCAAATTAACCTAACCCTATATATATATATATATATATATATATATATATATATATATATATATATATATATATATATATATATATATATATATATATATATATATATATATATATATATATATGTGTGTGTGTGTGTACAGTTTTGGTGTAGCTTTATGATATTGGGGAATATTACGTGCCTCCGCGGGGGGTTAATTCTCATATTTGTCATGCACATTGCCTTGTGCTCATGCATGCTCATGAATTATGAAAGAAAAAAATAATTGTAGTCAACCGTCGCCGTATGTATATATATATATATATATATATATATATATATATATATATATATATATATATATATATATATATATATATATATATATATATATATAGGGTTAGGTTCATTTGAGACCACCTATATTTTGTGAGACCGTGAGACGCATTTTATTATTTTTTATTTTATTTTATTTTATTTTTTTTAGTTAATTCATGTTCCGAAAATAATATTTAAAAAAACAATTTTTTGATTTTTCCACTTATTTTGCATTTTAAAATTATTTTTAAAATATGTATAATTTAATATTCTATTTAAAATATTTCACGTATTTTTTCAAAAAAATATAGAATTTTTTATTTTTTATTTTTTTTAGTTAATTCAAGTTCTGAAAATAATATTTAAAATAAGAATTTTTATATTTTTCCATTTATTTTGCATTTTAAAATTATTTTTTAGAATATGTCAGTGTAATATTCTATTTAGAATATTTCATGTATTTTTCAAAAAAAAAAAAAAGGAATATTTTTTATTTTTTTTATATTTGTTTATATTTTTTTTAGTTAATACAAGTTCCGAAAATAATATTTAAAAAAAGAATTTTTGGATTTTTCCATTTATTTTGCATTTTAAAATTATTTTTAGATTTGGTCTAACGGTCTCACAAAATTAGAATGGTCTCAAATGAACCTGAACATATATATATATATATATATATATATATATATATATATATATATATATATATATATATATATATATACCCTATATATTATTGGTTAATGCTTAAAAAACCATTATATTATTTCTTTGTTTGATTAAACTACTATTATTTCCCAAACGGTGTAATATATCTAGTTTATTTGGTAAACCTAGGTTTCCTGTTCTCTTTAGTGTACATGTCATATAACTAGTACATTGACCCGCTTTTCACCTCCAATCGATCATTCTATAAAAAAAGGGTTTGTCAAGGGAAAACTTCGTGGAATCAGCGGTAAAATCGATGGTTAATCACAATAAAAAAAGGTAATCGATTTGAAATTCTCGTTCACTGTCTTCTATAATAGATACCATGTGTTATTTAGTTTTTTTTTGTCTGCATTGATTCTTTAAGGAATCTTAACCAACAGCTATGACTTTAACTTCAAATGTCGAAGTTGAAGTTTATATGGAGGATTTGAATGAAACAGATGATGATGACTTTGATGGAGAAGAATATGTTGCTTCTACAATGGACAAAACAATATGGGATCCTTTTTTGAGTTATTTGGTACAAGGAGAGGTGGAATTGCTTGACATACCATCTGATGATGCTGAATGGAGCTTTTCAAATGAAGAATCTGACAAAGGAAATGATATAGGTCAGAAATTTAGGGATCAATATCTTGTACACAACCCCAGGATACCGTGGAATAAAATAGAACCACACTTGGGGGGGAAAAGTACGAAAGCCCAGAACAGTTCAAGCTTTGTCTAACAAATTATGCGGTGGCTAATGGTTACCAGTTGAGGTTTGCCAAGTATGATCGTTCTAGGATATTAGTACGATGTGGCAAAAAAAATGATGAGAATAAGTGTCCATTTAGATGTTAGGAATCTTGGATGGGGAATGAACTAACTTAGCAAGTGAAATCTATGGAAAAGAAACATGTTTTTGCATGAAAATACAGTATCAGGTCATTGATAACTCCAGGTTGGATTGCTAACCATTATCTTAATGACCTAATTCGCAACCCCAAAACAAAAGTCAAAGAAATGAAAGCTGATTTTTTACAGAATTATTATTAAAGCTTAGCTGATGTCAATGTGAAAGGGCAAGGGTATTAACATTTACACTAATTGATGGCAAGTTGGTTGATCACTATGCTAGGATATGGGATTATGGTAATGAAATTTTGAGATCAAACCCAGGAAGCACTATTGAAATTGGACTCGATGTTAATCCGGATGCAAAATATTTCAAAAGAATCTACATTTGTTTAAAGGCTTTAAAAGAAGGATGGTTGAAAGGTTGTCGTAAGGTGATTGATTTAGATGTATGTTTCTTGAAAGGGATAGTTAAAAGGGAGTTGATAGCTGCCATTGGTTGAGACGGAAACAACCAAATTTACCCCATCGCATGGGCAGTTGCGAATGTAGAAAATAAGGATACTTGGAAGTTGTTCATCAAGTTACTACAATCGGATATTGAAACAGTTGAAGGAAATAGGGTTACTTTAATATCATATCAACATAAGGTAATTTTATACTTTTTAGTAAATTTTGACATATTAGAAATGACAAAACAACCCTTATGTTAAAACAACCCCTATGGATATTTTGGACACTTTTTAGCAAATTTTGACATATTAGAAATGACAAAACAGCCCCTATGTTAACACAACCCCTATGGACATTTTTGGATACTTTTTAGCAAATTTTTTACATATTAGAAATGACAAAACAGTCCCTACTTATGGCAAAACAGCCCACTATTATATCAAAACAGCCCTTACTTATATTGTATATAAATACAGGGTCTTCTTGAAGCCGTGAAGGAGCTGATGCCACATGTTGAGCACCGCCAATGTGCCCGTCATATTTGTGCTAATTTCTACAAGCATTTTAGTGGAGAGATTTAAAAAACCTTGTTTTGGAAAGTTGTAATGTCCACAACAAATCAACGATTCAAAAACAATATGGAAAAGAAGAAACGGTTGAACAATGATGCATATGATGATCTCATGAAAAGAAATCCTAAAACATGGTGTAGGGCTTGTTTTGCAACAAATAGGGCATGTGAGGCTGTAGAAAATGGAATATCCAAGTCATTCAACTCTGCAACTCTGCAATCATTGGTGCTAGGGGGAAACCGTTGATAACCATATTAGAAGAGATTAGACTTCATGTGATGGAGAGGCTTGATGCAATGAAAAAGAGTACAAATTCATGGAAATTTGTTGTTACACCAAAGATATATACTTAAAAAGATGAAAAAATGGCACAAAAACATGAGGTATGGATCGTTTCCCTTTTACAAACCGGATTGTTCTATAATAAAATGTAGAAATATTATAATAACTCTACATATTTGATAGGAATTGGATGGTTATCCCAAGTGGGCCTCTATTGGAGGTTAGAAATGGTTATGAAGGTTATATGGTAGACTTGGCAGGTTAGACTTGCACACACAGGCTATGGATTTTTTCTGGCCTTCCATGTATACATGCATGCGTGGCTATAAACCATACCCACTAAAATCTCCTTGACTATGTAAGCGATTGGTTCAAGAAGGAAAAGTATCACCTTGCTTCTAGCACTTCCATTGTTCCTTTAAATGGAAGCAATTTATGGGTTAAAACTCCAAGTGATAAGCTATTACCCCCAAAAGAACGTTGGATGCCAGGAAGGCCTTCTGTTAAAAGAAAAAGAGACCATACTGAAAAAAAAAGACAAAGTATTCAACTGTTTCAGGTAAAGGAAAAATAAAGAAGTGTCACAACTGTTTATAAGAAGGGCACAATGCTAGGACACGCGAGAATGAAAAGATTGTGCCCCCTCCTAAGGAAAAAAAGCCTCCTGGTAGGCCTAAAAAACCACATTCTGATGAAGCACCTTCAAAACGACCAACTACAAGTGGTGGGAGAGGAGGAAGAGGACCAATTAGGGCAAGAGGTGGAAGAGGATCATATACAGGTACAAGTGGTGGTAGAGGAGGAAGGTCACTTATAGATGAAATATTTGATTCACCAACGGAAAATGAAGTTATAAACATGTTTGATAATTTTGAAGAAGAGCTATATAGGGCTGAAATGGAAAGGGAGAAAGTACACATATGATGCAATTCCTTGAATCACAATTTGATGAAGGAGTTTTATAACTCAAGATGATGGAGTGCCTGAAACTCAATTTTGATATTGAAAATGGTAAGAAATAATTTCATCTATGTGTATTCTATAATTATATTAAATGTAAAACTTTGATATCTTTTGCAGCTAATTGGGAAGATCAATCTCTTGTGGTTGGTGGGATAGCAATTGATGCACCCATTATCCGTGAAAAGCTCAAACCAAGAAAGCCATCTGGATAAGGATGTAGGTGGAATACTAGATTTAGGAGCCGAAATGGGACAAAACTCTAATCTTTTGTTAATTTGGAATACTAGATTTAGGAGCCGAAATGGGACAAAACTCTAGTATTTTGTGATGAATTGTGATACTTGGAATCTAGTATTCCTATTCTTTTGTTATTTAAATGTAATTCAATTATGTCCCTTTAACAGGTTATGTTAACTGTTTTGCATTTTGTTCCATATTATCCTCTAGTTTTAGCTTTTTATTTCCTGCAAGATAACTTGTTTTGTTCCATTTTATTATGTTTTATGTTTTTCCTTTCCTATGATAATCTTGAAATGGAGGGTATTATAGGAATTTTTTGTGTTATTGTTTTCCTTTTATGTGTTTTGTTTTCATTTTCTGTGAACCTATTTTTTTTTTGTTTTTCATGTGAACCTGTAATCATTTGCATCAGCGGCATTATAGGAATTTTGCGTTTTTATTTTCCTTTTCTTGTTTCTATTTTCTGTTTTTACCCATGTTCCAAAGAACATGATCTTTTGCTTCTAAACACAATCAAATAATGCAAAAATGGCAGCTCTGTTTGTTAAAAAATTATTGTTTCTGTTTTCCGTTTTTAACCCTCCTACAAAGAACATGGATCTTTTGCTTCTAAACGTCTTGGAAAAGATCAAATAATGCAAAAATGGCAGCTGCGTTTGTTAAAAATTTATTGTTTTTGTTTTCCGTTTTTAATCCTGATCCAAAGAACATGATCTTTTGCTTCTAAGCGTTTTCAAAAGGATCAAATAATGCAAAAATGGCAGCTACATTTGTTAAAAAAAAAAAATTAAGTATGCATTAGCTACACTATTTGATTAAAAGTTTATGATACAATTTACTAAAGATTGACACCTTGTAATTACTTGCAAGAAATCTCCCACTTAACTTTTCTTCTTTTAGATCACTGACTTTTAATAACGTATTTTTTAACAACTTGTTATTACTTTCCATAAAGCTCCCACTATTGTCTGTAAACACACCCACTATTGTCTGTAACCACACCAGGAAGATTACATACTTTTTATTAATTCCAAGGATAATTACATACAAGCATAAACAAAGTAACCACACCAGAAAGATAGTAAGAATGTGCAGGGGATTTAAATTACATGGCTTCAAAATACATTGGTTAAACATTGATTCACGGTACATTGCTTAAGCATGATTGCAATACTTTAACACACCTAATCTTCCCTATTACATAATTAGCGATATTAAATTAACATAACTTTCTATATTACAAAAGTATAAAGAAAATAAAAATGCTAACGGGAACAATACAAAACATCACCCTAACCATGAACATATCATGCTCATTTTTTTCAATCACCACAAGGTTCATCAATTTCTTCTGTAGACATATGTTCTCCTTCTCCAGTTCCATATTCTTCTTGGAAAGGATCATATTATCGTTAAACAAATCCATATTCTCCCTATTCAACTCATTAACTTTAATCTTATACATGTGAAGACCCAAATCCTTATCCAACCATACAAAAAATTTACAATATTTTGAAGAATCCTACAAAAAAATGAAGTATTTGAGTAAACATAAGAGAAACAACATCAATCTTAAAAAAATTCTTATACCGTAGAATTAGGGCACCGAATGAAATTTCGGCCTGGGTTCTTCTTGTTGAAGTCCAAATCTTTGGTTGTTCACCACATTTACACAATACGTTTTTGTAGCTAGAAGTTGAGGAGGAGGAAGAAGATCCATATGATCGATCTCCCATTTCAGTTGCACAACAAGAACTCAAAAGAAGAAGCAAAGGAATGCAAGTTTTGAAGAGAAGAATAATCAGATGGACTCATTTAACCTAGTTTTTCCATGTCATCTATTAAAACCCATGTCATTTATTAAATAACCGGGTGGTTAAGAGTAGCCGGTCACAAAACATTAAAACAATCAACGTCAAACTAAATAATGGTTAAATTGTACAAAAAAACAATATAAGGGTTTTTTTAAACGTTGACCTATAATACATAGGGTTTTTCTGGGATTTTCCATATATATATATATATATATGTATGTATATATATATATATATATATATATATATATATATATATATATATATGTATATATATATATATATATATATATATATATATATATATAACTTGAATATTTTTTTAAAAGCATTTTAGATTCGTATTTCATATATTATAATATTTGTAAGGAAATCATAAGAAAACTCATTTTATTTACTAATTTCTAAACACAATAGAATAAGTATTTATTTGATACAAAATAAAATATATATAAAATATGCTATAAAATTCCAAAGAATGTTCATGTCTTCATGTCAATATTTCCATATTTTCTTCAATTTATCATTTTTCACATCTTCACTGTTCACCACAATTTCTTTCAAATCTACAAGAAAATTAAAAAAAATTGATTGATGCAACAACACTTACAAAAATACAAATGTGATTAACATATGAATCAGAGACGATTCACTATGAATTACATTTGATGCATATGTGAATTACATGTGAATCACATGTAATTCACATATGAATTACATGCGATTTACATGTGATTCACATGTAATTCATATGTGAATAACATGTATTCATTTGTGAATTACACGCAATTTGCATGTGAAACACATGTAATTTATATGTGATTTACATGTGAATCAGATTTAATTCATATGTGAATTACATGTGATTTACATGTGAATTACATATAATTCATATATGAATTACATGTTATTTATATGTGAATCGCATTATTGAAACTAGGAAATTTTTTAAATTTATAATGAAATTAGGGAAAAGCTTACTTTACATGCATGATTTGCTGTATCGAGTTTTTAGGTTCATGATTTGCAATGTTCATGCTCAAATTCATTCCATCTTGTTGTAATACACCCATTCTAGGTGAATCTTCTGCCATTTCCCTTGCAAACACATAAAAAAACACTTGTTATTTTGAGTTATTCATATTTAATCTAAAAAGAGTTAGTACTTTAACAAATCTAAGTTTTCACAATATCTCATAGAATTCACAAGTAGATCAGTCAATCATAGGAACTAATTGACTAGATCATATCAAATAGAATAGATAGAGAGTATAACCATAGACACTTAAAATTAACATATTACATACCACAATACAGTCAAGTCAAGGTCCCCTATCTGTCCATCAAGCTCACCCATTCTTTTTATACCAATATGGGCACGACCAGAAGCAGATATTTCATTCATACCCTATTTCACAAAACATCAACGATAAAATAGTGAATTACATAATTATAAATTAATAAATATATGATTATAGATGCATTAAAATGTTGGAAGGAAAGAACTTGGAACCTGTTCCAATGGCGATCAAAGGTATTGTCCAATTCAGGGCATTCTAGATTATCATCATTAGGGACCCAAGGTGCCAACTCTCTTTCCAAGTCAACATGATGGGATTGAGAAATAGAGGAATCTATCATTATATCATGCACATCCTCATGCTGAAGCTCATTCCTCAGCCCATCTCTAGTTATAGCTACACTCTGCCCAATAAAAACACTTCATCAGTACATATAGTATAACCATACCTACAACAACAATCCAACGCCTACCAATGAATATGATCTACGAATGGATAAAAACAAAACAACATAAGTAAGATGAAGGGTTTACAAGAAAAAAGAAAAATTAGACATTATTATAGACCTTAGCAACAATCTGTACGCCTCCGATAACATGTCGGTATCAACAAATCAGTAACCTCTTTCAAATTCAAGGTATGATTCCAAACAGATCAAAAAGAAAACTACAACAAATTCAAGCCCTAATGCTCCTAATTTCGAGATCGATAAACAATAAGATAACGAAATGAAAAATAAGATAGATTCAAACATAATTGTAGCTAAATTACTGATCAATCATCACATACCAGACGTTGAAAGTTGCATCAATTGTCAATTTAGATCTCGAAGAGGAAATGAGACATCAAGGAAGAACTTGAGTGAGGAGGAGGCACTGTTCGGAGGTGATGTGACGATAGGAAGAAAGAAAGAGAGAAATGATTGCTGAAATCGATGGTAGATCGGTGGAAAAAACCGGCTAGGAAAAGATTATAGAAATCAATTGCATTAACAATGTAACATCCCAAGAATTATGGACCAAAAATTTCATTTTTAATTCAGTGATTTGCAAAAGGTTTGTAACAAAATATCATTCGACCATATCATTTAATAAAACATGTCTCGCGTTTGTAAACCAGAACATAAATCATAATAATATCAGAGTACAAATCCCAAAATGTCTCACAGTGCGGAAAAAAAAGAGTGTGTGTGTGATATGCCACTACTGCGCCAACTCCTTCCCCTTGGCTAAAGAGGTACTTGAAACAACAACTAAAAACCATAAGCACGAAGCTTAGTGAGTTCCCCAATCGTACCGCATACCAAATAACCACATAACATACAAATATTGTCAGGTATATCTGGGTGCCCGACCTACCCCTTCGGTCCTCTCGACCGGATACTGACTAGCATATCTAGGTGCTGGTCTCCCTCTTCGGTCCTCTCGACTGGATACTGACTACCATATCTGGGTGCTGGTCTCCCCTTCGATCCTTTCGACTAGATACTGACTAGCATATATGGGTGCTGGTCTCCCCTTCAGTCCTTTCGACCGGATACTGACTAGCATATATGGGTGCTCGTCTCCTGTTCGGTCCTTTCGACCGGATACTGACTAGCATATCTGGGTGCTAGTCTCCCTTTAGGTCCTTTCGACCGGATATTAGGGACTATTTCACCCCCTACCACTACCATATAACACGTATCACATAATCTATTTAGCATGGCTGGGCATGACTACCCCTTCGACCCTATCAACCGGTGACCTAGGGACTATCTCCCCTACTATCGCTATCACATAGCATCATATCATACAAACACATAAACATAACACATGTAGTGGCAAACCTAGATGAATATCACAGACACAATCATCTAATCATACAATTTCTACTAGTGGGCCGACATTGTGGCCTTAGACCCACTGCTACTAGAAGGTAACTCACCTCGAAGCAGCTGCTGAAAGTCTGCTTGCTGAGCGCCTGACTGCTGAACCGGAACTCCCTGGCGATAATTTCCATAAACACTAAGTCAAATACTGATAACTAATCTTAGGGTAAAATGACTATTTTACCCTCTGGTCAAAGTCAACTTCCTGGTTGAACGGACTCGCCGAGTTGGCTCGCCAACTCGCCGAGTCCCTTCCATATGTTCTAGTTCTATACTCGTTCCTACTCGTCGAGATTAGAGAAGAATCGATGCGTTCTTCTTTGATGCACACATACTAAGTCCAAGTTCATCCGACTCGCTGAGTTGAAGAACAACTCGTCGAGTCTAAGGCAATCTTCATCGGACTCCCCGAGTTGCTCATCCAACTCGCCGAGTCCACAACTATCTTCGTAGGACTCGCCGAGTCCAACATTCAACTCACCGAGTTCATTCAGTCCTTTTTCCATACAGACCTGATTTGAGCCATGCAGCGACTCCAAACCACAGATCTAGGATTCTAGGGCATGCTTATCACGTAAAGTTGCAAACTCTACGTGTATGCATAGCTTTAGGGGCTTCAAATGTCCAAACTAAGCTCTTAATGGGGTTCTGAGCTCAAGAGGCACCTTAATCACCAATATGACTGAAACTTAACACTTCTAGAAGGTAATGAGAATCCAGATCTGAAGTATAACCCAATCATAAGGTTTCTCTACAAGGATTTGGGGTTTTAGGGTTTAAAAGCAACAATTTAGGGACAAACAAGATCTAATAGATCAATAATCAAGATGTAAACTTTATTACCAAAATGGATGACCACAAACAAATTTGTTCTGGATCTAAGTCCCCTTCCTTGACCTATTCAACCTCTCCCTTCTTCCACTTGCTCCAAAGTGCACCAAAAGTCCCTTCACAAGGCAACAATCACTCAAACTTACCAATGGAGGCTAGGGTTTCGATAAGGAATGCTCTCAGGGTGATGGAGGCTGAGATGGGGGCTATAAGGACGTTTAAATAGGGTGCAAACCCTAAGGATTAGAGTTTCCTCCTGACTGGCCTACTCACCGAGTCCAAGCGTGGACTCGCCGAGTAGATCACTTAAAGCCCGCATCCAACTTGACATCTACTCGGCGAGTTAGGGCTACAACTCACCGAGTAGCTCTTCCAAAAAGAAACATTTAATCAAAATAAATATGTACCAGGAACGGGGCATTACAATTGTCCCCCACTTATCTTAGACTTCATCCTTGAAGTCTTCTGTCTCCAGAAACAACTCTGGGTAGTGCTCCCTCATCTCCTCCTCTGCCTCCCGTGTCCACTCTGAACCCCTCCGGTGCTACCACTGCACCTTCACCAACTGAACCACCTTGTTCCTCAAGGTCTTCTCCTTTCGATCTAAGATCGCAACTGGTCTCTCGATATAATTCAGGTTGCTATCAACCTGAATATCCTCCAAGGGTACAACTGCTGAATCGTCCACCAAACACTTTCTCAACTGAGAAACATGAAAAATGTTGTGGATCTGGCTAAGCTCTGCTGGAAGATCCAATCGATAGGCGGCCCGACCCACCCGGGCCAAAACCCTAAAAGGACCAATGAACCTGGGGCCCAACTTGCCCCTCTTCCTGAACCTAATGACACCCTTCCAGGGTGATACCTTTAGGAGGACCATGTCACCCACCTGAAACTCCAAGTCTGAATACCTTCTATCGGCGTAACTCTTCGGCCGACTCTGCGCAGTCTGCAGTCTACTACGAACCTGCTGGATCAACTCTGTTGTCTTGAGCACCACTTCGGTGCTCCCAATGACACGCTGACCGACCTTGCCCTAACAAATCGGGGTCCTGCACTTCCTCCCGTAGAGCATCTCGAAAGGAGGGCGGTTAATACTCACATGGTTATTATTGTTATACGAAACTTCCGCTAATAGAAGATACATATCCAAACTACCACCGAAATCTAGAATGCATGCCCACAACATATCCTCAAGAGTCTGGATGGTCCGCTCACTCTGACCATCCGTCTGCGGGTGGAAGGCAGTGCTAAGATGCAGACAAGTGCCCAACTCATCATGAAACTTCTTCCAAAACCTGGAAGTAAAACGCACATCTCTATCGAAAATCACTGACACTGGCATCCCGTGCCACGCCACTATCTCTCTGATATAGATGTCGGCCAACTTCTCGGCCGAGATGCTCTCCTGAATCGTCATAAAATGGACGCTCTTGGTGTAACACCGTAAAAATTTGAACAATTTTTCACTTTTGTAACCCATAAAATATCATTTAAAAACATAAACAAATCGTTATATCAACATTGTATCAATACAAAACCCAAGATCAATATATATATATATATATATATATATATATATATATATATATATATATATATATATAAACTCCGGTATGCATGTGTACGGATCATGCCGGCGCCTTCCCGCGATCGTCGCTGGTACCTGAAACATATAACACATAACACTGTAAGCATAAATGCTTAGTGAGTTTCCCAAAATACCACTCTAACACATAATAGCCACTCGAGGCTGTAACTCTGTTGACCCTCAGGTCTATGTGTCCCAGTGGGGCCCTCCAACCCCAACTCTCTATGGGCCCTCTGGCCCTAACTCTGTGGACCCGAAAGTCCTAACTCTGTGGACCCGAAGGTCCTAACTCTGTAACTCTGAATCATACATAGCACATATCACAATAAATCATAGCACATAAATTTAGAACCAATACATCTTCACTATCAACTTGAAATCTAGTTCCTCTGATTCTTGGAATTGAGGAACTTGGGCCTTGCTGTTGAGGATGCTGTGTAGGAACAAGATACAGACATTGAACTTTCTTGATCAGTAAATGAAGCGCACAGGTCAGTTCTGAAGAGAGAGCTGAAGTTTGCTTGGATGCTAATTCGAGAAATTCCATCCATTCAGAGTATCCGTATCTGATCAGCTCATCTCTCTTGACAACTTCAGTGTACGGATGTTGAAGACCTTGACGAGTGATCAGCAAAGTAAGAATTTTCTCGTTACGAGGTTTTGAGGCTTTAACTTTGATGATCTTATCACTGCTCACTCTTCGTTTAAGAACATCTTGAAACCTCTTGCGATCAATCCTATCGAGAACACTATCAGTCCTTGACTTACTGCTATGGGGAGGAGGCTGTGAAGATTTAGATTTGGACTGATATTCTAAAAACTTTTGCATCTGATCTTCAAAGGATCCTTTGGCTAAAAGTTTATGTTGAATGAGGGATTCATCAGCTTGAGCAATATTCTTTAGAAGCTGAGCTTTATTGGCTTCATCAAGAATTTGCTTAACTTGATCAGGAGACATGTTCCATTCAGCTGCCAAATTGGATATGCTGATAATGGAATTAGGTTTATTGCTGGGAAGAGAAGTATCAGTATGTGAAACAGAAAATTCAGTATCTGTTGCCTTGCGCTTGCGAGATAGAGGTTGAAGATCCTCGCTAGCTACATCTGAGTCTTCTCCTTGAACTGGGACAATGGGATCAATGAAGTTCATGTGTAGCATTTGACACTCATCATCATGTTCATCTTCATCATCATCTGAGGCTTCTCTTTGAACTGGCACAGTGGGATCAATGAAGTTCATGTCCAGCATCTGACACTCATCATCATGTTTATCCTCATCATCATGCTCACTATCTTCAGCAAGCTT